GCCCAGGAGCCCCCCATGCCGGGGACCTACACCTGCCCTTCCGGCCTTCCTGGCCCCACCTTCCGCAGGAGATGGAGATCTACGTGCGGACTTTCAGCCACGCGCGCGCGCGGCCGGAGCCCCGGGGCCAGGCCAGGCCCCCCGCGTTGAATGCCGAGTGAGTGCGCCCCGGGCTCGGTCAGGTGGGCGGCGGAGCTGCCAAGGGTGAGGGTCGGGATGCTCTGAGGCACGCGTCTGCGGTCCGCCATCAGCTAGGGAGAGGAGCTGGAGGCTGGGCCCGCAGGGGGACAGGCTGGGAGAAGCCGCCGCCACCAGCGCTTGCCCACCCGCTTCCCTCTCAGCCACTCCCGGGTCCTCGCCCCCCGCGACCACGACCGAGCAGAGCCTGCCTCGCCCGAGGCACGCGCGTTGCCCCCCCGGATCCGACCTCAGGTAGGACTGAGTGGAGGGGGCGGGGGAGAAGCCTGCACCAGCCCTCCTCCGCTGCTGCTTTCTGCCCACAGGGCCCCACCCTCCGCCCCAGGAAAGGGTCGTCGAGTGAGTGCCCCCTCTTGTCTCCGCAGAAAAAGAGGAAGCGACGCGTGTATAAAGTGCCGACTTCTGGGACTCTGGACCCGGCGCACACACGGCCCCGGCTACCGGGCTCCGGGGCGTCGGGCCGCCACTCCAGCTCGTCGTCCGACTCGGCAGACGCCAGCCCGGTGCGCGCCGCGGGCCCTGCGGACGCCTACCACTCGGCGTCGGCCGAGTCCATGGACGAGATCCCCGTGGCGCAGACGCGCCTGGGCAGCGCCGCCCTGGCCGCCCCCGGGGCCCGGGCCCGAGCGCCCGCCGTCTTCGTGAGCCCGAGCAGCGGCGAGCCGGGGACTCCCGGCGGCCGGGAGAGCGGTTCGGCCTAGCCCGGCGGAGGCCGAGGCGAGCGGCCGGCCCGACTATGCAACAGCCACCTCGCCGCACCGAGTGCACTTTAGGGGCCCCGAAGACCGGCGGGCCCCCCGCCCCCCACTCAGCAATACCCACCCTACCGGCCATGATGCTCAATAAACTTTTGTATGCTTTTGCGGACTTGTGCTTGCTTTCTTCTGGAGCGGTTCCAGTGCCTCCTACTCCCCTCCCCGCGCCCAGCCCAGATGTCCAAGGGGGCTCGGCGGACCGAGGGGACAGGAGGCCAAGCTAGGAGAGGTCTGGGAAAGGGGACCTGGAAACGGCTCTCGAAAGCGGGATCTACCCTCAGAGCGGGTAGGGGCCGCGAGAGATCGCAACCGCGAGCGGAGGGATAGCCAGACGGCTCGAGCGCCGAGGCCCAGGAGCCTTTTCCTGGCAGTGTAAGACTGCTGTCCAGCACTAGGCTGGACATGCAGAAGCACTCCGTCCTCTCCCTGTGCCCAGTGCTCCGAACTCTGAAGCCAGCCCCGGACGACGCCGAGTCGTGGCCTGAAGATGCCTCACGTTCCGCTGAGGGTATTTGCTACTCCAGATCAAGGTCACAGAGGGAAGCCACCTTTCCGCTTGCCCGCCCCCTCCCCAGTTCCTAACCAGCCTGGAGGTGGGGGGCCCATTTTTAACTTTGGGCTCGACCCCGGTTAGGGGCCATCGTAAGATGCCCTCCGCAGTCGGGAGGCCTCAGAGCGCGAGGTTGGCGAGCAGCTCCGCCTCCACGGAACCCAGCGCGGCGAGAGGGCGGGGCCTGGTAGGCGGGGCTAGCGTGACCTTGGTCACTCTCCCGCAGAGACAGCCCTGGGGGTGGGACTCGCTGTCGCTATGGAGACAGAGAAACAGGGGATAATACTGCGGAGCCGCCCGACCTGCAGTCCCGCCCCAGAGCCGGCAGGGAGCAGAGCTTCGGAGCTGCCTGGTCCCCCCACCCCCGCGTCAGTCGGTCCCTTCTCGCGCCTTCTGTCCATCCAAACGTGCACTGTAGGAGCAGCCACAGCGTAGAAGCCGGTAGGAGACCTGGGCGCCGACCACCCCAGTCAGCACCCTGCATGACAAGGGAGAGGGGGAGGAGCGACCTGGGAGGGGTCCCCACCCTGGCTGACACCAAGCCGGGGATGTCAGGGCTCAGCATTCCCCCCCAGCCCCCACCCTCACCTCCTGGCCTGGCTGATTGAAGACTTCAGCTGTTAAGGCAGAGCGAGCAGGTGGCCCCAGTGCATGGGTGTGGCCACTCCATCATGGCCTGCAGACCCGGGGGAACGACGGCCTGCCACCAGGTTCCACCGGATCGGGCCCCAAGAATCTCGAGACTCATCTTCCCACAGACAGGAGTCAGCACCAGATGTTGGATCCTGCCACACCTCTGAGACAAGCGCCCCTCTGGCTTAAGGCCCCCCACCAACATAACAGATGCTGGGAGGTTGCAGAGCAGGGGAGGGGGGCCAGCACAGACTGGGTTTCTGCTTCTCAGAGATGGCTGTCCTGGAGGAGCTGTGGGTGCTGGTAGACCCAGATACAGCCACCTAGAAATAGGAGTTTGAGGCCCACAGCAGGGGGTGTTCGTGGTAGGCCAGTAACAGTGGAACCAGGGGGAGATGGGCAGGAGAGGAGAATAAGGAGAAGACGGTTCCTGGGTGGTCTTTAGGTCAGGACCTTGGTGTGGCCAGGGAGCTACGGGAGAGGAGTTGGGTGGGGGCCGGAGTCTCACCCAGTGGATCTGAGCACAGCACCTGGGAGTCCGGACATGCCAGCCGCCGGGTGTGGTTGCGGGAAGCTGCAGGGTGGTCAGAGGGTCCCAGATCCCCAGGCTGTGCCAGGTGGACGAAAGCGTGTCCTGAGGGTGTGGGGTGGGTGCTGGTGTGTGGATAGGCAGGGAGCTGGGGGTCTCATCAGGGTGCCAATCACAGGCTGTGGGTGTGGCCTCAGGCTGGTTGTAGTGTGTGTGTGTGTGTGTGTGTGTAGTCAAGAGCCGGGCTGGGGGTTTGATCTGGTCACAGCAGTGGGCCTGTGGCAGGGCTGAGGGTGTGGCTGGGGAGGCTGTAGTGTGTGTGTGTGTGTGTGTGTGTGTGTGTGTAGTCAAGAGCCGGGCTGGGGGTTTGATCTGGTCACAGCAGTGGGCCTGTGGCAGGGCTGAGGGTGTGGCTGGGCAGGCTGTAGGGTGTGGGGGGGTGTTGGGGGGGGGGGATCTGGGACCCTCTGACCACCCTGCAGCTTCCCGCAACCACACCCGCGGCTGGCATGTGTGTAGGGGAGTCCGCAGTGCAGGGCTGAGGGCGTGGTCAGGGCACTGCAGTGGGGCTTACATCGGGCCAATGAAAGAAGGTGAAGAAGACCGGCTCTCTGAGCAGAGTGGGGGGTGCATGCTCAGTCCTGGGGCTGTGGATGTGTGGCTGGAAGAGGCTGTGGTGGGGAGAAGGGTGTGGCCAGGGGCCTGCCTTGGAGGCTTGTGGGGGGTTGTAGGGGCTGGAGGTGCTGCCCGGAGGGTGTCATCCATTCGAGGGCCGTTGTCACAGGGTCCCAGGTGAAGGGTGTGGTCAGAGGGTGCAAGCTCAGGGCGTGGAGGCCAGGGCTGAGTGTGTGGGTGCACTGCAGGGCTGTGGGCGTGCAGGCTGGCATGATGGTGCTGGGTGGGTGGGGCAGGGGTAGGGGGCTTCCCTCAGGAGCCAGAGACATGGACCCTGGGAAAGTGTGTTTTACTGCAGGGTGTAGGTGTGAGGGGCACCAAGGCCCAGTCCCACTTGCCAACACGCCTCTTGGGGTTGGTCATTTCCACAGCCCCCATCCAGGTGGCCCCCCAATCTTCTGCTCCTCACTTCCTTACACCAGGAGGCTACAGCCCCAGTGGGTGGCAAGGGGCCAGGAGGCCACGGTTGTGCCCCAGGGTCTGGGAGTGCTGGCTTGCCCCACCCTTGGGCCCCTGTTCCCCAGCCCGGCCCAGCCCAGCCTTGCAGGGAGCTTCGCCCTGACACTATCCTGCCCTTAGCAGCACACTCCAAGCAGCACCTCCCTCCCTTAGCAACGGTCTCCAAGCTCCACAAACTGTGGCCCAGCCAGCCCCAGGCTGGGCTCCCCTCATGTTTTTGTTTAACAGCAAATAGTAACAAGGTCCTGGCTGGGCCAGCGGCACCCCTGCCTAAGGCACCCACCCTGCCCAGCCTCTGGCTCTCTTCACAGGCCTGGGCTTGGCCTCGCTGGCTCCGCATGACCTTACATAGACACTGACCTCGATAAATACCTGCCCAACTCGCAGCCTGGCCTGGCACAGCTTGGCATGGAGCTCCCAGGGAGGGAGGACAGCCTGCCCTGCCACCCACATGCACTTCCACCCGAGCAGGCCTCGTGCCAGGGTCAGACAAAGCCGTGGCCCCAGCTGCTGCCCTCACAATCTCTCTGGACAGTGTCACTCTGTTCCCAGCCTGGTGTGGGCATCATGATGGCATCTTCACACCCTGCTCAGAGCCAGGGCTGGCCCTAGGTGCCAGAACCTTCCATCCCACCCCTCTTCTTTCCCAGGCCTTGGGCTCTGGGGCCCAGGGGTATGCTGTGTGCTGGCCCCACTCCTCAGTAGCACCAGCTCCAGCTCGGAGGGGACCGAGCCCACGTCCCTGAGCCTCTGTCTTCAGGGGAGACAGATGTCCTGCGCCGGGGTGAGGGGCGAGGCAGCTGGGCTGTGAAGTGATGGCGCGCTGGGTCCCGGCAGGCTGGCATGGCAGAGAGCACAGACCTCGCTGGGCTGGAGGAGAGCTTCCGCAAGTTTGCCATCCACGGGGACCCCAAGGCCAGCGGGCAAGAGATGAATGGCAAGAACTGGGCCAAGCTGTGCAAGGACTGCAAGGTGGCCGACGGGAAGGCCGTGACGGGGACGGATGTGGACATTGTCTTCTCGAAAGTCAAGTGAGCCCCGGGCAGCCCCTGCTTCGGGTGACCCCCGGAGCTGGGGAGCTGGGAGTGTGGTGGGGTGGCTAGAGCCTGGGCAAACGTCCAGGTTCAAGATGCCCACCCACCTGGCAGGGGGAAGTCGGCGCGGGTCATCAACTATGAGGAGTTCAAGAAGGCCCTGGAGGAGCTGGCGGCCAAGCGCTTCAAGGGGCAGAGCAAGGAGGAGGCCTTCCATGCCATCTGCCAACTGGTGGCAGGCAAGGAGCCGGCCAACATGGGCGTCACCGTAAGTACTCTCTGCCTCCCCTCGCCCCCATCTGGGGTGGCCACCACGGCCTGAGGGCATACCTGCCTGGGGGTGGGAGGTGGGAGGTGTTCCCCGCCTCACCAGGTGTGTCTGTGTGGGTGGGGGGGTCCTCTGTCCACTCAGAAAGCCAAGACGGGGGGTGCTGTGGACCGGCTGACGGACACCAGCAAGTACACGGGCTCCCACAAGGAGCGCTTCGACGAGAGCGGCAAGGGCAAGGGCATTGCGGGCCGGCAGGACATCCTGGACGACAGTGGCTACGTGAGCGCCTATAAGAACGCGGGCACCTATGACACGAAGGTGAAGAAGTGAGCCCCCGGGACGGGCGCTGCGAGGCTGCCCCTGACAGAGGCTCAGGCACAGGCCTTCGGGGCACGTGGAGCCAGAGAGCCGGTCCCCTGTCTGCCAGACCAGCCACCCAGAGCTTCCTGCTCAGCCCACCAGGCCTCTGCCCCAGACTGCTATAAGTCCTCTGCGCCCCCCAACCCCCACCTGCCCCCACCTGCCTCCACGCCAGCTTCTCCCTCCCTCAGGGAAGAGTGTGGACCTATAGCCTGACCGCCAACCTAGCCCCAAGTATGGCTAACCCGTGCCTGCTCGACTCATATTTAAGCTGCTGCTCTGGCCAAGTGCCTAATTCTTTCCCAGACCTCAATAAAGACACCTTTTGTACCGGGGTGGCCTCCGGTGTGTGATGCCCGCCGGCCTGTGGTAGGGGTGCTGGTTTCTAGAGGAGCGGCACCCTGAAGTGCTGCACCCTGCTGCTCTGGCCCGCTGGAGGCCCTGCCTGCCGTTCTCTCAGAGCCAGGGGGACACCCTGGGGGGAACCCAGGGCCTCTCTGCACATCTTACCTGCCTGCAGGTCACCCGCCCCTCTCTGACAGCAGGCCGGGGAGGGGTGAGACAGTGGACCTGGCTTGGCTATGCCTTGGCAGAGGTCCCAGTGGCGCCGGGCCTCAGCTCTCAGCCTGCTGACAGGCCCTCACTCCAGGCGGCTACCAAGGCAAAGTGTGCTGGGCTCCGGCTCAGAATAGTGGAGAAAGCAGGGCCAGGAGGAAGCAGCTTAAGAGGCAGATGGCTCCTTGTGGTTTGGAGGAGGAGTGGACGCCAGACCTGTGCCTCCCATCTCCCTGGCCAGGAGCGGCCCTGCACAGAAGGCCCCAACACCGATTCCCCAAAGTGGGACTCGGTGGCTCTCGGTGCCTGCAGTAGGCAGGTGGGTGTAGGGCATTCACCAGTGAAGGGCTCCCAGGTTTGGGGGCAGTGGTGGCTCCCTCATCCTGAAGGCGCCTGGCCATTTGCAGAATGAACTTTCTGCCTCTCTGAGGAGTCAGGGGGTCGGCCAGAGCTGGTCTCAGGCCCAAGGCTTCGGGCTAACTTTCCTGCCTTCCTGCGGGGACCAGGGGCTGGATGGCTTTAGAACCTGCCCAGGAGATGGTAGCTCCCATGGGTGCCAGAAGAGGCCAGGAGGTGCAAGTTCACAGTCCTTCCCTCCGTCCCTGACCTAGATAACTCGGCAGAGCAACACAGCTGTCCCTTCCCTCAGCCCACAGGCCGTCCCGGGGCCGCCAGAACCCCCGGAATCCAACTTCGTAGGGCCGGCAGGCTAGAGCCACAGCGAGAGCTCAGGGCAGGGATTCTGGGAAGAGGAGGTGGGAATTCTGGGAAGACGGGTCAACACCCTGGCTAGAGCACAGCCTGGTCATCAGGGGACACTCACCTCCTTCTCACTCAGCTGGCCGTGAGCGTGAGCCCGCTCTGCCCACAGGGTCCAGGAACCCTGCTCTCCTGTCAGCAGAGAGAGCTGTGGTCCTGGGGGGGGTTGCTTGAATTGCAAGCTGTACTTAGACAAACGAGTAACAGGTGAAACCCACACCCACATCCTCGTGGAGAGAAGAATCAAGTGGCATTCCACACGGGGCTGGCCTACAGGGGAGCAACTTGGTGCACTCGTGAGACTCCCACTGTGGCTTGGAGGAACTAGCTGAGCCCCAGGGGGCAGAGCACCCACACTTGGAAAGGACCCCTGGTGGCACAGTGGATCAGGCAGGAGGCTCAAGTACACCAGCTGCCCCTCACGCAGGCCAACGACCCAGAAAGATGATGGCCCGAGGCAGCTTTGCTGCGCTTTATAAGGTCACACACTGCATCAGGTGGACGGGACAGCCACAGGTTGGGGTTGGGGTTTCTTGGAAAGTGGTTTTGTTGGCGGAGTGAGGCAAGTCAAGGCCCCCTTGGAGCCAGAAAGGCCCTTGAAGAGCAAATGACTGGATTAAACATCGGCTGGCCAGTGGCACCTGACCACTTCCACCTGTCATCACCATTTCCCTGCATCCCAGCCTTATCGTGAGGTGACACTTTGGGGACTTTGCCTGTACGGCCAGGAAGAGAGATGGGCTTCTGAGGGCTGGGGCCATTCAAAAGCCTTTGGGTCCAGTAGGGGTAGTCCAAAGAGCCCCAGGGGCACTGCCCCTTCCCTTTGGGCACACAAGACCCAGCCTCCTGGTGTCCGTGTAGGGCGAGCAATCTCTCCCTGGGGTTTCTCCCAGTTTCTGGGGCCTCCCCGCCCTGTGTCAGGCCACTCAGCTGCACAATGGCCTGACTGTTCCCTCGACATGAAGCCCCTGCCCTTGCCCTCAGGACCAAGTGTTTTCCACACCGAGGCAGTCAGACACCGAAGCCTTCTCCAGGCACAGCCAGCACTGGCCTGGGGCACCTCCTTTCAGGGACAAGAGAAAATGGGGGGAAGTCAGCTCCGTCAGGCTACTTTGGTCTTCCTTAGAGGCCTCTGAGCAGATGTCCCTGGAGGATGACGCATAAGCTGGGGGTAAAGAGAAGTGGGCTCTCTCCCCCAACCGTCTGTCTGGTCAGTCGGCAATCCAACCCTCACCCAAACTGGTCGGCATCAGGTCCACTCCTGAAGACCTGCGGGGACAGAGGGCTGCTCCATCATGTCTCCCAGGTTGTCCCCTTCACTCCCTCGCAGAAGCTGCTGGGACCAGATGGCTGACCTTGGATTAGCACAGCATTTCTCGGCCTGTGGGTCTTGACCCCTTTGGGGGTCGAACGACCCTTTCACACGGGTCGCCCAATTCATAACAGTGGCAAAATGACAGTGATGAAGTAGCCATGAAAATAATTTTATGGTTGGTGGTGGGGCTCATCACCACAAGGACTGTCTTCAAGGATGGTGGCATGAGGAAGGTTGAGAACCCCTGGGTTAGCAGCAGTGTGCCACCAGGGCTCAGTGCACGAGCAGGGCTCAGGGCTGCCAGGTGGAGGTTGGTCTGTGGGGCAGAGCCGGGCCCAGGAGAGTGGTGGGGGGTGGGGGCATTCAGACAGAGCATGATGTCCCCCCCACCTCCCAGCACTGGGCTGACCGTTCTTTGACGCCAGCCTCACCCCCATCCCTCCCTGCTCCCTGTCCCCATCTGTATTTAAAATGCCTATCGGGATGAAAAGAAAGTGACCTAGTGTCTGAAACCTAAGAGTGGGTTGGGGGGGAGGGGAACCTCAGTGGGGAAACTCACAGCCGCTAGCGAAAAGAAGAATTGGGGGCTTGAGCCTGGGGACCTGCTCCTATGACGTGGACAGCTTAGAAAGCCCTCGGGACAGCGTTCCTCTCTCTGTGACTTGACAGCCCCTAACTATACACGTGCAATGGACGCTGAGCACACCGGGGGCGGCACGGGCCGCACCCGTCTCCTGTCCGGCTCCTCCCACTCCTCTTTGCCCTGGTCCCCCACCCCTACCCTCGCTGCCCCCAGCCCCTCTTGTGACAGAGGGACCTTCCCAAACACAATGCTGCTGCCCGCTGCCTTCCCGGGAAAAACTCTTCCCGAAGCCCCGCCTCCTGCTGGCTGCCTCTCCGCCCCTCAGTCCCCTGCCCAGCTCAGGGCCTCGGTGAGCCCCGCCCCCCTCCCCATCCCTGTTCCTTAATCTCAGGCCTGTCACCTTCCACATTGCCTTATTTTAGTCTTTACCCCATGATCCTGATTATGTGCATTCTGTTCAACTCTTGTCTTCCCAGTTCGTCATACCCCCTGTACCCGCCCCGCCCCCCAGCCCCAAGCAGTGCTTGCAGGACTGAGTGAAATGACAGGGTAGCATGATTGCTAGTTGACAGTCCTCTCTTCCCCCAGTTCAGAGACCAGGCTCTCACTCCACTAGCTGAGTACGCGCCTTCTCTTAACGCACTGTCGCCCATCCAGGTCCCTTCTCGCCACCAAGTCCTGGTGAGCCTGCCAAAGAGTGTTCTCTCGGCCTGTCCTCCCTGCTCACTTCCCATCTCTCTCCTGGGCGTTCTGCCCCCCGCGTCTCCCCTGCTCTGCCCTCCTCCACAGCCCTGTTACGGGTAGGCCAGGCCAGATTAGGCATCTGTCTCACCCCCTGGCCACACCACGACCCCTCTCAGACCCTCCTCTGTAGCCTTGCCCCCCTGCCTCCCCCCGCCCCCACTCCCAGCCTGCTACCATCCACTCATCCTGCCAGCTTCCACCCAAACAAGTCCTCAGGGACTCGCTCTCCAGGTACCCCTCTTCCCCCTCCCCCAAGCGACTCTGTTTCCTCTCAGGCCTTTGGCTTGTCCAGCGCTGTTTGGTACCTATTACCAGCTTTGTGCTCCATCACTGACCCGCCCAGCATTTTGCTTTTCTCCCAGACTGCATTGTTGGCAGACCCCAGACTCTGAACCTGCTTGACGAGGGAGTGGCCTGGCCTCCTTCACATTATCCTTCCAACACACAGACACCGTCACGGATGCTTTCTTTGTAACCTTGACTACGCAGGACTCTGGAGATACAAAAGGCCCTGGGGGTTTTGTTTTTCCCCTTTTTGGCTCGCCATTTTCAGCCAAATGTTTCTGTGGGAACTCATGCCAACATCCAGTGCCAGCTGCTTCTGTGGGCAGAGGGGAAGCAGAACTGGATGGGAGGGGGAGTTGGGGGGGGCACAAGAGAGAAAGAACGAAAGAGACCCAGTCCAGTGTAAAACCAGAATGTGTGTTTTTCTGCATCTTTTGTGGGCGAGACCCACCCTGGCTGGGGCAAGGGTGCTGACGCCCTCCGTGGCAGAGGGCAGCCGCCGGTCAGGGTCAGCTCTGCAGAGGTCAGCCAGGGTCAGCTCCACAAGCTGGGCTCTGGGATGGCTTCGGAGACACTCTGGATGAGGTACTGACCCGTGTCGTGTGCCACTGGCGAGGAGGAAGACAAGGTGCTTTTCCCAAAGGGCGACGATCTCCCCAGATGGTGGCTCTTCTCCGGAGGCAGGAGCGCCTTCCCAGAATAACTCTTGTGCTCCTTATTCAGCTGCTGCAGCAGGTACTCATTGGTTACCACCAGGGACCTGCACACCGGGAAAAGGGCAGTCAGGGCGGCAGCAGAGGAGGGAAGAAGCTGGCCCCGCCCGAGCTGCTTGCTGAAGACCAGCGTGAAATGAAGCAACCGCTCCTACAGGAAGAACGGCCCAAATCACGAGGCGGTCACTTTAAAAGCAGGCCTACGTGTCTTTCGCCATGACAGTCCTGTCTGCTTTTGTTCCAAACGGACACGGCAGTAACGGCTGTCATTTTTCAGTGCTCGTTCTGGTCTTGCCAAGCACTTTTGACGATGAGGTGAGGGCAAGTGCGAGGTGGCTGGCCCCTGACCAGGCCCTCCAGTTTCCCACCCCAAACCTTAGCGGGGACATCTACTCTCCATGTTGGTCATGACTGTATGCCAGACTCGGTATACTGCCTGACGCCCAAAGCCACCCACACCCTAGCAAAAGGAACACACACCAGTTCAGTCCTATCTGTCATCGTGAAATACTGATACCGCAAATGTCCTTCAATAGCGGTCTGATGAAAGAAGCTGGTACCCTCTCCAAGGACCCCGACGGTGGATGGGGTATGAGTTGGGTGGCTAACTGCAAGGTTGGCGATTCGAAACCACCAGCCACTCCATGGGAGAAAGATGACACTTTCTACTCCAGTAAAGAGTGACAGTCCTGGAAACCCACAGGGGCAGTTCTACTCTGCCCTGTCATTATGAACCATTGTACGGACCTCACAAGCGTTTTTGTTCATAACAACAAGCAGGCACCACTTTGCGCCACGTGTCAAACATTACCCATAGGGTGATGTCCTCCAGGGTCACCGTGAGTCGGAAGTGACTCAATGGCATTGAGTTGCCTTTTTTTTGGGGGGGGTACCATCTATACAATTGAGTACTAGGCAGCTATCAAAAAGGAGAAGTATATCCCATTGAGTTCCAAGATATGTTGAAACAACGTTCGGTGGACTATGTAAGACACACACACACACACAGATGCAGACACGCAACAGAAGGCTGATGGGAGGCAAGGAAAGGATGGAGGGGGAGAGAGGAAGAAAGCAGTGTAGACTTGTCTGAATTGACCTGACTGTGGAGACTTGACTTTTCATTAGCAGACAAGATGAAATCGCAATGGATTCTTATAAATTCCTTCAGAAGCAAAAGCAGATGGAAGCAGACGCGCCTGCGGCCCGGAGGAGCTGATGGTTTGACACCACAGAGGAGTGATTTAAAGTCACAATTCGGTCAATTGACTGTGCATTCTCCTGAAGAGCTACATACATTTGAATGTCCCTTTGGGCCAAGTCCAAGTGCACATACGCCTGTGGTCCCAGCCCCCATCAAGTCTGTTTCATCAAAATGTTGAGGTACGTGCAATGGCGGCACTACTTGGTGACCCGCATCGAAACATCATCATTGCTGTTTCATGACATCATTACTGTTTCATGAGTTTAAGCATGCCTTAGTGGGCCCGGAAGTGTTTCTCTATGGTCTCTGCTGTCTCCTATGCATAGAAGGGTACATTATATGTAACCTTGTGTAACTAATGTCAGAAACAATCTTTACAACTTTGCATACAAATTCAGGATACAGACACACTTAGGAACGGAGCTCATTTGTTATCGGGGGACTGCCTGTTTTTAATAGGTGAAACATTGTAGCCATGCAAATTCTTCATTCCTAGCCCAGACCTGCCAACTCAGCAACTCGAAGTAGGGACCCAGCAAGTCTGCATATCCCAACATGCCCTGCAGGTGATTCTGTGCCCACCCAAGTCTGAGAACCATGGCTGTTTGCTGGCCTCCCCACTTCTGTATAATGCTTGAAATATGATCATAAAAATGCTTTAAAAAGCCACAGAGACTGGACTTGGGTCTAGGCTTCTGAATAGGAAGCTCTCTCAGTGCAAGTCAGGATGTGAATTTTGCAGCTGAAGGTTTAGGGATGAGGGTCTGCTATCTGAACTTCACTCAAAGTCCTGGTAAAGATCAAAACGCCACAGCCTTCTCCAAGCGCACCGGTCGTCCTCATCTCTTCTGACGTGGTTCCTAGACGCCTTCCTGAAGGTGCCGCTCTTTGACCTGGCTGATGCTCCTGGTGACTGGACTTAGAACCCTCGACGTCTCTTTGATAATAGCAGGCAGATGTTTTTCTCAGAGGAGCTGGGGGTTGGTTCTAGAGATACGTACATGACCAAGGAAAGGTCCTGGTGGGACCCAGAGGGAATCTGTCAAACTAGCAAAGGCATCTAGTTCCTGGCGCATGGAGGAAAGCGGTTCTCTGGTCACTGAGCCAGATACCCTAGATACGGGAGGTTTACAAACAGAGTACAGCGAGTTGGCCAAGGGCGTAGATAACGACTTGCCAAGCAAAACAATGGAGCAAAATGAAAGTCAACGCCTGCGTTCAGAGCCATCTCGAGAAACTCCTACCTCTGACTTTCGTGGAGAAGGGCCACCGTCTCCTCCAGCTTTCGCAGTTGGGCCAGCTCCTGGCTCAGGCAAGCCACCTGCAGGCTCAGTTGCTGGTTTTTGCGCAGAAGATCATCTGCAAGGAGCACGGGAGCCAGGGGTGAGCGTGATGCAAGCAGAGCCCGGTGCTGGGGTGACATCTTAAAGCCATGGGCTCTGCCGCACAAGCCTTTCCCCACTCCCTCCCTTGGAGGCAGCAGACCCAGGGCGGGGGTGGGGGCTGGCAAGCAGCATTCTGCCTATCCGGGATGAATAGATGCCACTTCCTATTGCCTCCCACCCCCCAGAGCTTGTTTTCCTGACGTGCACTCCAGCTGACAGCCCTGCCCCCATAGACCTGTTAAGAAGAGTCTGTGGGTCAGCTCTCCCCCTGAGCTCTGGCAGTCAACAATAGTAGGTCTTGCTTCATCCTCCCGCGCCGTGTGTGATGTGGAAACACCGAGCCTTGTGCCAGACACGTGAGAACCCAATGAATGCCCGTAGAGAGGGTGCCAGGGCACTCCTATCGGCCATAGTAAATTGGGGGTGGGGGGAATCACAGGGACTGGGGTTCTGAGGAAGCCAGTCTCCTCAAACAGGGCTTCTCTCACATTAGTTAATGTGCTCACTAATGCCCTGAGGAGTCTATTAAAAATAGCTTCTCATGCCATGGTTCTGAGGCGAGGCTCAACCTTCTGCACATCAGGTCTCGCTGCTGAGCTGTGGGCCAGGCTTGGAGTAGTCAGGTTTTCAAGGTGGGAAGCAGGGCTTCGGGTGTTGCTGCACCACGAAGCTGAAGCTGAACTGCTGTCCGGGGCCTCATGGCTGGCCGGGGCAGGCTCCTCATAGACAGCACCAACAGAGTGGGTGAGTGGAGACCTGGCGCCTGGGTTTTTCAAGCTGGTGGGTATCGATGAGGCGGAGGGCCACTCTGGAATCACAGCCCTGACTTCAAATCAAGTCGGTCAGACAAATCCAAAGGACCCCAGTGTTTGTTTGGGGATGCTGGGCTCCAGGCTGAGCGCGCCAACTTTGTGTAGAACACTGGCCTAAAGCAGGCGCATAACAAAGCAGTCCAAATCAAGGCTTCAATGGGTCCTGTTTTCACGGATCACAATGGCATTTTCTCTTCCCCCACTCCCCCCCCCCCCCCTTTCTACAGCTAGCCAGCGTTGGCAGGAGTGGAGCGAAAGGTCATTCGAATACATTGGTGGTGTGAGCGTAAGTGGGCACTGCCTTTCTTGAGGGCTGAGGAGCCCCGGGGGTATCCGTGGGTTAGTTCAAAACCACCAGCTGCTCCGAGAGAGAAAGAGGAGGCTTTCTACTCCTGTGCAGATTTCGCCTCGGAACCCTACTGGAGCACGTCTACCCTGTCCTTTGGGGTCGCTGTGAGTTGGAATCGACTCGGTGGCAGTGAATTCGGGAATTCTGCTCCTGGGAGGGTCTCCTAGGAGAAGAGTCTGCAGTGTACACAGATTTATGTGTCTGGGTATTAACGGGAGAGCTGGATATGGTATTATAAATATCAGGACTCTTCTCTCCATCAGAAGGAAGACAAGATGATCCTAGAGAGGCATTTCATCTAGAACCTTCTGTTCCATTTCAGGTTTTTCGTTTTGAATGTTTAGAAATTCTCTTGAATCGTATCATTACCTTGTAAACTATTACAAGCCTGATGCTCTAAATCATGGCAGCTTTAGGACAGCAAACATCAAAACAACTGAAGAGAGAAGGAGCTAGATCAATGCGATCTCTTCGTGCACTTACACGCTATTATAGGAAACCTCCATACTTTTAAATGAAGAACTCGAGGGTATAATGAGATCAGAGATCGCCTGCGGTGGGTGGGGGACCTGATTGCAAAGAGCTTTCTTAAGTGTTCGAAATGTCCTGTATGTTGATTATTTTTTAATGTTTCTTGAGCAAAGTTCCTTTCTTTTTTTTTTTTAAAGTCATTTTATTGGGGGCTCTTACAGCTCTTATAACAATCCATACACCCATTGTATCAAGTACATTTGTACATATGTTTCCGTCATGCTTTTCTAAACATTTTCTACTTCTGTTTGTTGATTTGGATGGAATCACAGCAGTGCTACGTTTGTCAACGTTTAAAAATGTGTGCCTTTTATAGTGTGCAAATTATTTTTAAAAATCAGGACACAAATGTAACCTTTGAATGACCAGCATATGAATGGAGGTAAGGGGGAAGAAAATGTTCTAAAATGCTAATTAATGATTGTTAGACGGCATCACCACATCCACCTAAAAACAAAGCCAAAATCCAAAACTAACCTGCCGGTCATCCAGTCTGAGGCTATAAATCTTCAAGGGAGCAGACAGCCTCATCTTTTTGCCAAAGGGTGGCTGGTGGGTTTGAACCACTGACCTGACAGGGCCACCAGGCTCTGCATTTGACTGCATGGTGGAATGATATTTCCTTACACATCTTTTGCAAGTCTCTGGGCAGCCCAAGTGGGTAAGCGAGGAAAGGGTGAAGGGGTCAAACCCACCCAAAGGGATCTTTTGGAAAACAGGTCTGGAGATCAGGAGCCTTGTCCTAGTCTCTGCACGCCTGAGGCGGCCCGGAGTCAGTACCCACTGAGGGAAACTGACAACAAATTCTATAAAGCGCTCGCTCTATTGTTATAACAGGAGAGAGCGGTGTCCATCTGAAAAATAAGGCCAACACGAACAGTGGCCCCTGCCTCCCCTCGGTGTAGACCTTCAGCTGGTAACTCGCTCAGCCACACAACTCTCAGGCCAGAGGACTGCTCACATTTAAGCGCCCCGAGGAAGCCCAAGGAAGCTGTCTTTTCTTGGTTATGGGTGCTTAAGGGATGCAGCGCATTAAACGGACCATCTGCAGCCAGACAGTTGTCTCGGGAGGCGCCGCACGTGGCTTCCCGGAACTTACCGAAACTGTGGGACTGGGGCCCACCCAACATCGAGGTGGCAGCACCTTCCTCCAGCTGCTGGATTTTTTCTGACAAGACCTGGTTTTCCTCCAGCACTCTGACCAGTTTTTGCTTCAAACTTTCCTGTAGACCAGAACACAAAAGGCAAAGGATCTGCAATCCCGAGGATGGAGAGAAACCCGGGCCGATTTGCTGAACAGGCCTCAGCACCCCTCTGCCTCCGTCAAATCTGAGAGCTGATTGGCAAACGCAGCTCCAGGGCAGCCAACACGGTGGCCCATGATGCGGTCCCCTCGTCCCTATAAGTTAGCCTCGTAGAACGAGTGGCCAGCATTCTGAGTCACGTCCCTAAAGTTTCTAGAACTAAGCTAGCTGTCTGAAAATCCTTTTAGGCCAATAAAAACCAAACCATTGAGTCAATGCTGACTCACAGTGAGCCCCCTCCTCCCCTGAGTCAATGCTGACTCACAGTGAGCCCCCTCCTCCCCCAGTCAATGCTGACTCACAGTGAGCCCCCTCCTCCCATGAGTCAAATTGAGCCCCCTCCTCCCCCATGGGTTTACAAGACTTAACTGTTTATCCGAGTAGAAAGCCCAGTCTTTCTCCCTGCTAGTGGTTTTGAACTGCCAACCGTGCAGACCACAGCCCAATTCGTAACCACTACCCCACCAGGGCTCTCTCAATCCCGCAGGGGTGTGCTAGGAGTCAGCATTGACTCGATGGCAGCTAGTTTGGTTTTTCGTGTTAAGGAAAGGGAAAACCGGTGTGGGGACATGCGTCCCTTCTGAGGAGCTGGAGCCAGAGCCTGGTGCTCTAGAAATGAGTCCTGGCTCAGGATTCTCAGCTCTGTCAGACGGGAGGAGTGAACGTTCCAGAGAAACCTACCTTCTTTCATCGGAGACAACTCGAAACCTTCGAAAACACGATCTTGAACTTTTTTTTTTAAACTCAAGGGGTATTTTTCCTTTTCTTTTCTTTCCTATTTCAAGTCTTTCTTCAGAGTAGTTTTGGGTTAGGGGTTGGGCTTGGGAGATATCCCTGCAGAAAATTCCAAATAGACCCAGTCCCAAAAGGTTCGGTGTCCCTGATGTGGCCAGCCTGCCTTCTGCAGGTCCTAGCTCAGGAACGCCTAGGTGCTGAGAGTGGTACTGATCCTCAGGGGCCCTGGGGGCGGATTCTCTCCCGTATTCTCCTCAAGGCAGCATGGGAACAGAGCCTACCATGTCGTTAGGGATCAGTTGCCCGGCTTCCTTCAGATCAATCTCCCTCCTGCGGAGGGCTTTCGAAGTATCCTCGGGACTCGTGTGACACCATTGCTGAGAAGGAGCAGGGACGACCAAGCTCAGAAGCAAGTCTCGGGCAGGACCTGCCAAAAATCCAGGGGCAGCACCCAGGTCAACCTACTAAGTGACCACGTAGAATCCCAGAGAATCACTATGGGCCTAGAGCGGCATCACCATCTCCTTTGTGTGAGACACCTCGTTCATGGCTGCGCGAGGTGTTTTATAACAGATAACAAATGATATCCCGCCTCCCCGAGTGGCACCGACAGACTTGTCTACCAAATGAGAGCCAAGGGTCAAGGGGACATAGCTGGGCCAGGGTCTCTTCTCCCGGGTGTCCCTTTGGGGGCCCTGGTGGCAGGGTGGTTATGCGTTGGGCTGCTAATCACTGCCAGGCCAGCAGTGCGACACCACCAGCTGCTCCCGGGGAAAGACCGGGCTTTCTGCTCCCAGAGTGTTACTACCGTCTCTGAAACTCACAGGCCAGTTCTACCCTGCCTGTGGTGCGGGACACTAACACTGAGGGAATATGGCCAGGTCTATATTCCCTAACTTATAACAGAGGGAATCTGGAAAGCTAATATTCCACGGTAGGAAGGACACCACTCGGGTAAATTACAGCTAAAGTCTAAGCACGTTATCCTGCTTTACACATCATTCCCACAGATTCTCCCGACAGCGATGCTGCTTAAAGGGAGCACAGGGTTGATTCTGTCTCCCTGTAGAAGCAGACATTCCCTGATTATTTCCTTCCTCGGAGGCACCCATGCCCCCTCCTACCTTCCCCCCGTGCAGGCATTAGGTTTCCTCACTTGTGAGCTCAGGGACTTTACTGTGATTACCACCCACCTGGTGACATATGTAACTCCTGAATATGCGTGACTGATGGCTACTAGTGCCACAAGACAGTAAAGACTCCCTCTCTCTTCTCGCACCTCCACGTGGACCACCTAGAGGGGCTGCGGGGAGCATGCTACCATGAAATGTGCCTGACTCCTTTATTTTATCTTCTCCCCTACCTACCCCTTCCATTCTCTATGACTTTATTATAGTCTTTATATGTCATCGCTGTACAGCTGCGCCTATGAACCCTGCAGTTGTTAGAGGCTGGTTTACTCTAAACCAGTGGTTCTCAACCTTCCTCATGCCGCGACCCTTTCAAGACAGTTCCTCACAACAAGTGATCCAAATCAGTGGTGAGGAGGGTGTAGGAGGCCTGGTAGGGCATGATCAAGGATAATGTAACCGAAAGGAATTACTGAAACCCAAATGAAGACTGAGCATGACAGTGGGACAAGAGGAAAGTAAAAGGAAATAGAGGAAAGAGCTAGGAGGCAAAGGGCATTTATAAAGGTCTAAATAAAGGCATGTACAT